AAGCACACAGGCATTACAAAAGCTGTAGCAAGCCCTGGCCAGGTAGCTCAATGGCTTGCAATGTTTCCCAAAGTGTGGTACGGGTACCCCCAGGGGTACGGGAAGAGTTTGGTGGGGGTATGTGTTGCACCTGAGTTTGGTGGGGATATGCACTGCACAGTGCTGAGCTGCGCCTAATTCTACATTCTCATGAGTACGAGGGGTACTCAGCATTACGAAAATTATAGAAGGGGTACACATATGTCAAAAGTTTGGGAAACACTGGTTTAGAGCGCGCTCTCTCTCTCTCTTTCTCTCTCTCAAATTTAAAAATAAAAATTAAAAATGTGTAGCAAAACAGCTATCCAGACTGCTCGCCCATCCTCCTGCTCCGCCCTCCAATCATCCATTTCACCAGGAGATTTGGTCAGTGCTGTGCAGAGAGAGAAACAACATTGGGCAAGGAGTCCAAAGACCCAAGTTCACAGCCCAGTTCTGAGCTGTTTATTCCTGAGTGGCTACTGAAAAACCCTTGAGCCTCCATTCTCTCATCTATAAAATGGAGCAAGTAATATTGGGCTTGCCTGTTTCACTCGACTGTTGGGAGGGTGTGTGTGTGTTGGGGCGGGGGGAAACTTCTAGAAAATACACTATGAATAAAAGGGTGAGAAGTTACTTACATAGTTTACTCTGGTGATGAGTGCGTGGAGGCCACAAGAGAAAATAAAAGGGACCAGCTTTGTAGCCAGCGCTCAGGATCTTCTAAATGTAAGTGGTTGCGATTGCCCCAGATTTGTTCCAATCTTCGAAGAGATTAAATTTATGGATTTGTGGCATCACGTCATACCAGCCAATCCTGACCCATATTTCCCTCCATTAGGTGCATGTAACAACAGTACAAAGAGGTGTTGTAACCTTAATTGCTTGCAAAGTGTTTTGAAATCCTTAGATGAAAAAGCTCGGTGAAGTCCAAAGTATTAGCCCAATTAGCCGGCCATGTGCCCAAGGAGCCATGCTGAGCCTCCTCTAGGCTCCTTGGAGCAGGGACACCTGTAATGTATGTTCTGGGATGGCAGCCTGCCCCACCCACTTTGGGGTTTAAGGATCCTGTGCATGGGATAGCCCCAGACCAGTGACTTTCAACAGGTGTGCCATGGCACATTGGTGTGTTGTAAGAATTTTGAAAACATGACTAATTTTGAAAACATGACTAATTTTTAAATACCTGACTATTTTGTCAGGGGCACTGGCCTCTTTTCCCTTAGATTGCCAAATAAAATAATGACAACAGCCAGCACCATAGCCGTCTGATGTGGATGAATCAAAATTTATGCCTATTTTTTTTTTTTTTTTTGGTCAGATCAGCAAAAAATATATTTTGGGGTGTGCCACTGGATTTTAATAATTAGTTTACGTACCAGGAGATGAAAAAGGTTGAAAATCGCTACCCTAGACCTGTGGTCAGCAAACTGTGGCTCACGAGCCACATGTGGCTCTTTGGCCCCTTGAGTGTGGCTCTTTCACAAAATACCACAGCCTGGGCGAGTCTATTTTGAAGAAGTGGCGTTAGAAGAAGTTTAAGTTTAAAAAATGTGGCTCTCAAAAGAAATTTCAATCGTTTTACTGTTGCTATTTGGCTCTGTTGACTAATGAGTTTGCCGGCCACTGCTTTTTCAGGCCAACCCCAGCTTTTTCATTTCTAAGTGTACGCAGGCCTTTGGCCTTCCCGTTATCCTGATGTGCCTTTTCCACTTCTTTCCTTACGATCCTGAGTCATGAGGCCTGAGTGGCACTGACTTCGGTGTCATAGGTCTGCTTTCCTGGTGACCTCAGCCTGAGTCCTCCAAAAAGGGGAGTGTGTCATCGGTAACTTCCCTCGGCCTCTCCTGTTGAGCCCCGAGTGGATGGCTTAGCCCCTATTCCAATTTTCACAGTTAAAACTTGAGAGAAAATTCTGTGCCACGGTGGGCATCTTGGGAGTGGGTGTCAGGCAGCCACTAGAAGGGGCAGAAGGGCACTGTTTTGTTTTCTTTTTTAAAATTTTATTTTTATTTTTTGTTAATCCTCACCCAAGGATATTTTTCCATGAATTTTTAAAAGAGAAGGGAAGGGGAGAGTCAGAGAGAAACATTGATGTGAGAGACACATCGATTGGTTGCCTCCTGCATGCAGCATGACCCAGGCCAGGGAATGAGCATGCAACTGCGGTACCTGTGCCCTTGACCGGAACCAAACCGGGGAACTCTTCAGTCCTCAAGCTGATGCTCTGTTTTGACCTGGCTGCTCATTATGCCAGTGTTCAATTTGTTAAAACTCAGAACTATACACTTGTATGTACGTTTTTCCTAAGTATTTGTTACTTTACAATATAATGTGTTTTCTAAAATCTTTCTAGATGCTAATGGACTTCAGAACAGATTCTGAGGTAATAGTTAAGCTATAAGCCTAATGAAGGCAAAATTGTTTCTTTCTCTACTTTTGTGATTCAATGTTTTTTAATTCCATGTTTATAGGAAGAAAGGAAATGCCTCAATTAGCCATTTAAATGAAGTCTAGTGGGTGGGAAGAGGGCACTTCTCCACAGGAAGCCCTGGGAAGCCTTCAGGGATGTGGGTGGACATCTGGAATTGCAGCCAAGTCCTGTGGGACACATATCTACATTTTTCTGAGACGTGTCCATAGCCCTCATCAAATTACCAAGAGTCTCTGACCTCAAAAAAGACCAAGAGCCAGAGGGATCCTTACAGCTCAAGGCTTATTTATGTTTGTACTTCTTTCTAAATCCAACCCATAGCCCTTGCCAACCTGATTCCACCCAATGGGCTTCACCCATTAAATGAATTTGCCCACTTCAGCGGAAAAAGTGAATGGGTCCAGCCGAAAGTCTTATAGAATAATCCTATCTAATCATTATCTGTTTATTTATTTCCCCCAAGAGATCCTAAGCCTGGAGGCCAGATATTGCATCTCCCCCTCTCTCCCCCCCGCATGATACTGTACCAGGCAGAGGCGGGCCAAACTCAAAAGACATTCACAGCGCCGACTTACGAAACCAGATTTATTAAAATGTCTCTACAAGTCAAAAACAGCCGTCTCACTGTTCACATATATACACATGTACAGGAAGGATCTAGTGTTTCTAGCTTTCCGGGCAGAAGCCCCAGCCAGCCCCGGCCAGAGTCCTCCGCCGGGTAATGTATCACAGATACAACAGTCCAGCAACCACGAGAGCGTTAGTGCGACAGAGGCCTCTGTCCTCCCTCTTCTCCGAGTCCCATGATTCTGTCAAGGTAATATTGCCAATAATCATTCACATTTCACGTGGTTTTAGACACGCAGGTTATTCAGACAGACACAGACAACAAAACCAGCCTCAGCGCCACAATAACAACAAAAACATCGAACGTATGTATAAAAGGTAAAATATATGTACAAAGTACACAGTACGTGAGGTATACACGGCATTCTTAACAATGCATGTTAGTAGTTTGCCTAGGCGTAGCCCTTGAAGATGACTGCCTGTTTTTGTGCCATTTCTCAAAAAATACAGTATGTTTGGTTTACCCGTTTAACCACCTAATTTCAATACCAAGTCACCGACTGGTATTTCATCTGTACTTGTGTTTTAATGCAAGTCGAAGCTTCTCTGTTAAGCTCTGGGGAGTGAGTTCCCATCTCTGGAAGCATTCAGACAGAGACGTGGATTCCCGGTTGTAAAGAAGCTGAAGGAGGGATTTCTGCGTTGGGAGGTGGCAGGAGGAGAAAAAGAAGTAGGACCAGATGACTTTGAAAGTCCCTCCCGACTTTAAAGATTTGGGGTCTGCCATTTCCTCCAGATGCTGAGTATACAAATGTATTCATGAGCCACAGCACATCTGAAATATCAACCACCCATCATGCAAAACTGCAGACACACACAATGCCAAGGGCAGACCATATCCATGGAGGGGGAGAGGGTTGGGGAAAGTGTAATTCTGGGCCTTGGCCTGAGAACCATCCAAATTTCACTTTCTCTGAAGTTTTAACGTTTGCTCTTGGGAGAGAGGAGTGGAGAGACTCTGTATCTTACTCCTCTGAGACAAAACACTCCACCCTGAGATGGTGTTGGGGCAGGGGAAAGCAAAAGATAAATGCGAACATTTATTTGAGAGGAACCAAAAAAATCTAACGGTTTCCACGTGCTCACATCACTTAAAACCATCTGCAGAGGCTCCGAGCTCAGAGCTCTGGAGGAGCCGGGGGATCGAATCGCTCGTGGCACTTCTCCACCGCTAGCTGGTGCTTTCAGAGCAAGCGTGTCAAACTCGTGACCGGTGGGCCACATGTCTAACATGCTTGCTTTACAGTGAGGTGGGAGATGAGTCAAGGTCAGAAAGAAGGCTTGAGTGCAAATGAGATCTTGGCAGGAAACAGAGGAGAGTCTGGGTTCACGGTGCAGGCAGGCTCCTGTGCTCCTAAAACAGTCCGCCCCCAGAGCGGAGCAGTCATTGCTAAATGTGTGTGAAGGAAGGGTGCGTGTTAAACAACTCCCCAAAGCCCCCCAAAAAAACAAAACAAAAAAACACAACTCCTATCAGAGAAGCTGAGATAGCGAAAGTCTAGCTACCGAAGACAAGTTCAAAGATGGCAGGTGTATTGGCCCAAATTACTTGTTAAAATGGGTTACTGCCCCAAATGCCATTGTGCGACCCGCTTCCTCTCCCTTATGTTCATGTCACTGGGGCCATCACTGTAGGACGTATACTCTTCGCCACCGGTAACAGCAGCAGACGCCCTGATCTGATCTGACCCGGGGGCAGTCGGCGAGGGCTCGCTCAGCCGAAAGGGACACGGCTCTGCAGGGCAGCCAGTTGGCATGCACGCTGCTCGCACCCACCCGGTCACTCCGCACGGCAGGCCGGGGGGCGACCGTCACTGCGCCGCCGCGGGCCCGGCCGGCACCGCGCCGCCGAGGGGCCTGTCCATCTTTGGAAATGGAAATGCCATGTGTGAGAATTCTGAGGTTTCTGAGGTTCCGGGGATCAGCAGAAGAAGGAACTCACGTCGCCGTCCTCCTGGTACTCTGGGACAATCTGGTCTGCAGTTCCCGTTTCTGAGTCCACGTAGCCGGGCTCCAGGACGGCCTGGAACCAGGGGTGGAGCAAGATCTCCGGGGCGGTGAGCCTCTCTGAGGGCTCCCGCCGCAGGAGGCTGCGGATGAGGCACCTGGCTTTGGGGGAGATGTGGTCGGGAATGCAGAACTGTCCGCGGCGGATTTTGGAGAAGAGGGCGCTGGGGTCTGAGTCATGGAAGGGGTACCGTCCCACCAAGAGGGTGTAGAGCATCACCCCGAGGCTCCACACGTCCGCTGCCTTGCCGGAGTAGGTCCCCGTGGTGTTCAGGATCTCGGGGCTCACGTAGGCCGGGCAGCCGTGCTTGTCTGACAGAGCGTCGTCCTCCCCCTTGATTATGTGCGTATCTTCCAGGCTCTCCAGTCTGAGCTGGGTTCTGCAGGAGAAGGAACAAGGTCATTACTTCCGGGTAGGTGTTTATGCAAAGCAAAGCCCTCCCCACAAACAGCACCCGCAGGCACTCCTCGCCGAGGCCCAAGGAATGCCCTCTACCCCTCCATCCCGTGAGCAGTGTCCTGCCATCACCAGGTCGAGGATTTCACAAACCGATGCAGATTGCAATAGACGTTTGCAAAGTATGGAGAGAGCGCCCAGGCTGGAGCGTGTGATGCAAAGCCCCAAATAGCATTGGTTACGCCGGCGCTGAGGAGCTATCTCCTCACGGGGCTTGCACAACAGAGTGCACGCGGCAGGTGTGGGAGCTGGTCTCCAGGGAATGCTGACATTTCCTACAAAAGCTGGCGGAGAAGAGCAGTAGATGCTGTGCTTCACGGAGGCCCCCGCATCCTACACGCTGGCCCCGCCCTTATCACACCACCGACGGCCAGAGCTCCCGGACCCGCACTTTGCATTATGGGACACAGAGGCCAGAGTCACTACTGGTGCCCATGGGTTGTCAACACTCCTGCTCACACTGATAGGCACACACAGAGGGGACCGGTCACGTGCCGGGGAAGGTGCAAGGAAGGCCCGTGACATGTACGGAGGTGTTTGATCGCAAAGAGAGCTCAGCCTGGACAGAGGGGCCATATGAGCAAACAGAAGCAGCTGTGTGCAGGGGCCCGAAAACACCCACCCACGTGGTACAGCAACACCTGAGCATACGGGCTCTGCATGGGGCTGACCTGATCAGGTAACAACTAACATCTGAGAATCTTTAGTCTAAGGCTCGCTCCTCTGTGAAGCTGCTGGGGACTCTTTATTTAGATCCAGACACCCGGGTCTCTCAGACCCCCGGGGAAACCTCTGCTCTCTGGTGGCAGCCTGTGCCCCTCTCTCTGCTTCTCGGAAACAGCCGTTGCAGTTAAGTCACTTGTTGTGAAGTTAGACGCAAGCATTTGGTACTGGCTAATGGGTCAATTCCTTTTCCTCTCAGAGGCCTGGTTGGATTTTTTTTTTTTTTTTTTTTTTTTTCAGATCTTCCTGCCTTCCTGTTCCCTGGAGTGTAGTATGCGTGTGCTAACTCCGGTGTGTCCTCAGCCTGACCTCCCCGTCGTTATGTAAAATACCCATTGGTTCTGTAAACGGAAAATATGACTCAACCCGCACTGTCTGCCCCTGATTGGCTGCTTTTGCTCTAAAACCCTGCACCTGTGCTGGTTACATGCTAGCGTCAGCCTGCCATTGCTTAACCCCCGGGTTGCCAAACTCCATGCACATGACATTCGCCTGTGCAATGCGGATTTCAAAAGCTGGTAAAGAGGTGTGAAAGGCATGTTTCAGAAAATACATCACCATGTCAAAGGAGCATGTGCCAGGAATTGGAAACTTCTCCATTGCAAACACTTTGCCTCTCTTTGCTAATCGGTATGTTCCAATAATTCTTGCAAGGTCAGACAGACACAAAGCCATGCTTTCTGGTAACTCAACCCACTATCTTTTCTTTCTTTCTTTCTTTCTTTCTTTCTTTCTTTCTTTCTTTCTTTCTTTCTTTTTTATTTATTAAATGTATTAGTGTGACACTGGTCAACCTGAACATAAGGTTTCAGGGGTGGGTTTCTATAAGATCTGTACATTGCACCATATGCTCACCCGGTACTTTTCATAGGGTTTGGAGCTCAGGGTGAAAAAGCACAGCTGGGATCAGCCTTACCTGAAGAGCTACCACCAAATAACGCACAACCACCTCCACAATTCTACAACCACACTGCTTTTCATCTCTCCACAGGGCATGTGGCTCACTTCTTAAAATCAGGTAAGCTTTATCTCCTGTGGCTTCCTGAATGCTCTGGTCTGAAACCTCAATTCTGAATCTTAAAGGTCTCATTATTCTCTTATCAAGTCCATCTTGTCCTCTATGAGGTAAGCCATGATCTATATTTAGCACCAATTCCAGCCAACTTCCATTTATTATTCAGCGTGCTTATTTTCTAAAGACATAACCCAATGAGATGTCCAAAAAGCCACCAGAGAATATAAAGTTATTTTAGGGGCCACGCCTGAGTGAGATGGGACAGGAGTGCTGTGTGGAGGAGGGCAGAATTTTGCAAATGCGACAGCCTCGCTAACTCCTGATACCTTCCAGGTATAAAGAAAAAGGAAAAGAAGAAAAGAAAGGAAAGAAAACCCACTCAGTGAAAACAAAGATTTGAGAACTTCCTCTGGGAGTCAAGACTGTGAAGGGCAGGTTGACATTTACCCCCAGGAAAACTGACCTTTCTCACAACAATAGAGAATAAGCCTGATCCTGGGGTGAAGGGGCCAGGGCTCCCTGCCATCACATGACATCCCACAAGAGCACCCAGGTGTCCCCAAGCCCCGTCCACAAGGGTGTAGAACAAGCCAGCCTCGGCCAGGGCTCCTCCGGAGAGCACTCTGGAAACTGACCGGGACAACCGAGCCTCCGGCATGGCTCTGAGCCAACGCACCACACCTAACGGCTCAGCCTGCACCTCCGTTTCGGACCCGAAAGGCCACGGGAGGGGCCGCGGAGGCTGCTCACCTCTCCTCCGTGGAGAAGACGAACTTCCTAAGCTTCAGGTCCCCCAGCACGATGGCTGACTGGTGGCAGTGGGCGACGGCAGAGACGATCTGCTTGAAGAGCCGGGAAGCCTCCTCCTCCCGCAGCCTCTTGCGGCTGCGCACGTAGGAGTGCATGTCCCCAAAGTCCCTCTCAAAGAAGACGTAGGCCCTGGTCTCCCCGAGGATCACCTCCACGATGCCGGTGATGTTTCTGTGCGACGGCAGCTGGATGTAAGGCCTGATTTTGTCCTGGTAGTGTTTTAGGGGAAATACCTGCAGAGAGAAGTGGACCCACTTAGGAGGAGGAGGAGGAGGAGGAAAAAAAAAAAAAAAAAGCAGAGGCCACCTCCAAAATCCCAGGCTGGGCTGCCGTTCTCAATCTAGCTTTGGGCTTTGGTGGACAAGAGGGTCCGTTCATTTGTCCCCCTGATCTCTGCTGCCCCACCTCAGGCAACCCTGGCTACTCCTAACACCCCAACCCAGCAACACCCAGGGCTCTGGGCTAGCCAGCAGCCAACAGGTTGCCATGTGGAAGGTTTGGAATTAAAGTTTTCTATGTAAGCTCCCGCCTTCCATGAGCCCATCCGCTCCGGAGCAGAGCCCCAAGTCCCGGCCCCCGTGGTCCTTCCTCGTTGGCCGGCAGCGCTGCACCAAGTGCCCCCGGGGGTGTCCAGGTGCTGCCTGCAGGCCCCGGAAATGCACGGCCTCCTGTGGGCCCGAGAGCTCAGCCCAGAGAGAGCACGGACAGGGGAAGCAGCACGGGAGCGCAGGCAGAGCGGCTATCAGTCAGAAGGAACGGATGACTCAGAGAGAGAAGACTGACAGCGCAGCCTTAAGCAACCCGCCTGCACTCCAGTCTGGCTGGAGCATGAGCAGCCCGGAGTGGAAATGCTCGCGGGCGGGACATGGGATCCTCTCCACAGTTGGCTTCATTTGTTTGTTTATCCCTCCCTCCCCCCCCCCACCTCCTCACTCCCACCTCCACCTGCACCCAGGAAATGAGTAGCATCTCTACCAAAACGCTGGCCAGGCTCAGTAAGAGCCTTTTGTTTGGCTCAGTTACTCACATCCTAGGACTCAACTGGAAACGGTGACACACGGGTTGGTTGTCACCATCTGGATTCAGCTATTATCTGCTCAGAGGAACTGGAAGGGGTTGCACAATGGCCAGGCTCACCCCGCCTCTGAGGCCTGGCTGCTCTGGCACCGGCTAGGAAAACCTCTCTGCTGTCCCCTGCCTTTCCCCTCTGCCGCACCCCACCCATGGGCGCACACAGACTCTTCCCCAAACAGCCCCTAGCCCCCAGCCTCCCAGAAGACACCCCTCCCCCGGTTTAACTGGGCTTGACCGTGAAATTTCACTCGGATCGGACAGTAGGTGGCAGCAGCGAACCCAGGAAGGGGTGGGTCAGGTGAGCTGCTGCGGAAAAGCAAAGAGCGACTTTAACTGGGGTGACCCCATCCTGGGGTGAGAAGGAGAACCCAGAGAGTCCTCAGGATGTCTGAGACCGGGGTGCGAGCTTCGCCAAGGGCGGCCTGTGGGAGTGGTCTGCGTCTCTGGGCGCTGGAGGACCCAGTTTTTAGGAGCGGTACCTCCTCCTGGGTGGATCCCTTATGTTCAGGGGGGAAAAAAAGAAACAGGGGAGAGAAAAAAAAAGAAAAGAAAAAAAAAAAAAAAAACCTGGCCGGCAAATATAGAGACATGAATGGAAGGGAGCCTTCCTAGCCGGTGTGGACTTTCCACTATTTCTACTCCGGGCAGACTCCCCCGTCCTGGCTGGGAGACACTCCGGCTGCTCTCCGGGGAGAGAACGGGGTTCTTGTCCCCACGCGGAGTCCAGCCGGACTCTCCGAGCCCGGAGCCCGCGGACAGCTGAGCCCGGAGCCTGGAAACCCGGGCTCAGAGGCGGCACCGGAGCAGGGCGTCCTTCCAGGACGAGGGGCGGGGGGAGCGCGAATGAGAGAAGGGGAATGGCATGGCCCTGGAATCCATTGCAATTCCATAACTTATATGGACCGCCACGCGCTGCACGGGGAGCTAAGGAAAAACTGGAGAAATAAAGCGAATTGGATACTGCACTTCCTCTGGGACCCCCGAGGCCCCATTGTATCAGCCCATCGGAAACCCCTCAGCCCCCCAAACGGTGCACCTGGTCCAACGCTCCCTTCCTTACCTGGCTCAAGTGGCTCATCTGCCTGACCCCAAACTCAAGCGTCGGTGGCAACTTCGAGCCCCCAGGAGCCGGCAGGCGGGACCCCGAGCACCACCGCCCGCCCCTACCCTCCAACCCCCGGGCGCCTACCTTGCAGCGCAGCTCGCGGCCCGTGTGGATGCACAGCGCCCGGGACACATGCTCGCGCTCGGCCAGGGGCAGCAGCAGGTAGTCGGCGATGCGGCTGGGCCCCGGCGCGCTCCCCGAGCCGTCGGAGCCAGAGCCGGGCGCGGCGGGAGGAGGCTGCGGGCTGCAGGGGGAGCCGGGGGGGCTGAGGTAGTCCGGGGGGCTGGAGCACTCGGAGAGGCGCGGACACTTGGCCGCCACGGCCGCCGCGTCGTCCGCGTCCAGCAGGCGCTTGGCCGGGGCGCCCCGGGCGGCCGGCGGCAGCAGCAGGGTCCCCGGGCCGCGGGGCTGCGAGGCGCCGCTCATGGCAGAGCGCACGGGACCGACCCGCATCCCGGGACGGGGCGGCCCCGGCTTTGTACGTCCTGGGCTCCGCGCGGGAAGGCGCTGCGACTGATTCCAGCCCGCGAGGGGAGAGTTTCAGACGGAGCCGGGCTCGGCCCCCAACAGGGAGCAAAGCGAGAGCCGCTCCGGGGAGGCGCTCCGGCTGCACGCGGGGACCACACGGGCCACGCGTCCGGGGATCGGAGGCCGGCTCGGGTCCCCAGATCCTCGCGGGGTTCCGGCTCGGGGCGCCTCGCCGGGGTTTGGCCGCCGCTATTGTTTGTCGAGGCTGCGGACGGTGTCGGTGGCCGGCGTCCTCGAGGTTTTCGAGCCGCGAGGTGGGGATTCCGCAGGTTCGGCAGAAGGCGGGTCAGATGCACTTCCCGGCGCTGGAAGTCCGGGGCGAGAGCCGCATCCACTTCTCCGCGGCGCCCGGGAGGCTGTGCGCCCGGAGCTCCCGGCGGGTGTGTGCGCGGGCGAGCCGCGCTCGGAGAGAGTGACTGAGCGAGCGTGTGCGCCGCGGCGATCCCGGCCGGCGCCCTCCTCCTCCTTCTCCTTTTCCTCCACCTCCTCCGCCTCCCGGTGACTCACGCTGTATACACACACACACACACACACACACACACACTCACACACACTCACTCACAGGCCGGGCTGTGTAAACAGTTGGGAAGCCGGTTGTGCAATGAGGTGGCTGCGACGACTCGGGCCTCGCCGCCAGCGAGCAATCACCAGAGCGGAGGGGGGGAGAGCGGAGGTGGAGCTGGTCCGCGGGGGCGCTGGGGGTGGCCCGGGCGCCGGGGATGATGCTCTGGGCAGCGCGCGCTCCGGCGCAGGTGGCGCGTCCCGAGCCGCTGGGGCGCGCGTACCGCCCCCCCCCCCTCCCTGGGCTGGGCTGGGCTGGGCTGGGCAGCAGGCGGCGCGCGCCCCCGGGCAGGCCCGGAGCTCCCGGCTGCCGCAGCCCGCGGAGGGGGCGGAGGGAAAGTTCCCGTGACGTCAGGGCCCCGGGGAGGTGGGCGGGGGGCGGGGCCGCGGGCGGCGAGGCGGCCTGCGATTGGCGCGCGCGGCCATTCACACCCAGCACAATGGTCCGCGGGCGCGCGCGCCGCCCCGCTCCGCACCCGCCGCCCGCGGGCGCCCCGCCGCCGCACAGCCTGTCGCCCCGGGGGTCCCCCTCCGCGCCCCGCGCCCAGGAACCTCCGGTTGGAGCCGTGGGCGCCGCCGCGGTGCGGGTGCAGCGGGAGGAACGGGGGATCGGAAAGGTGATGGATTCCAGAACCAGCCACTCACCCCCGCGCGGTAGTTCCGGGGAAGACCTGTGCGTGGTCGTGGATGTGGCTTTTTTTTTTTCCTTTTCCTGCCCCCTTACCCCCCCCCCCCCGTGCTAATCCTCAGTGTCTGTTCGCTTCCACAAATAGAACCTTTTGTCGGATGGAATAAAAGCAAACACTGGGCCTTGTGCGCTGCCTCCACCTCCACGCCCCTCCCGCGCCCGCCGCCCGCCCGGATCGAACGGAAATAGCTCCTCCGGGCCCCCGCGCCGCCCCTCCGCGGGGACTCGCAGAAAGGGCTTCCTGAGCCGCGGCCGGCGGGAAACAAAGGATGTGGGGAGCGGACGGAAGGGGCCCACGTGGCCGCCGCCGGGTTCCTGCCCCCTCCCCAGCCTCCACGGCAGGGCCCGGGGCTGGCGCCGGTCCCGGTTCTGAGGTGGGTGGGTGGGTGGGGAGGGGAGTGGAAGTCATTCTGGCCACAGACAATGACACTGTCTGCGCCGAGGCAAGCCTGCCAGGTCGTGTGCATGCATTCGTGCAGCGTGGTTTGGGGGAGCACGAAATGCGTTCCAGACTCTGCACAAAGCTCTGTGGAGGGAGAGGGAACACACACCTTAGAATCTGTCATTTTCCTTAAAGAGAGAACCAGGTCAATGTGGAGTCCTTGCGCTCCATCTGCTAACTACTTAATTTTCTAAAACCAGGTCCAGACCCAAGGATAAATCCTTTCCCATATTAAGTTTCCATTCATTCAACGAACACTAATTAAGCATCAACTAAGAGCTAGACGCTGAAGATTAGGAGATGAAAATTAAAATGATGCTAATAGCTAAGATTACCGAGGTCCATACTGTTCTTAGCACTTTACACAGATAATTTCACTTGGTATTGCAATTTCACTGTGGGGCTTTGTGTTTTCTGCCTCATGTCACTGGGGAAGAGGCCTGCAAAGAATTAGTTACTTGCTGTGGTCAAATGACTGGTAAGTGGTGGCTCTCTCAAGCTGGTAAACACTAGGGGACTCCAGGGAGAGATTATGATTTGCAGGAACAAAAGAGGAACAGCATTTGACCTGGGGACTGGTGGGATGGTGAGATTGTTGCTCAGGGGGGAGATATACGGTGGGTGGCAAGACCAGGTAGGGATGTTGGCCCAGAGGCCTGAGTAGCTACAAGGGAAACAGGGAGCTGAGCCTGCCAAAGCCCTTTGAGGAAATGTAAAGGGCTCCAGGGCCATGCTGAGTTGGTTGCACTCGGTCCTGTGGCCAGGAGGGAGCCCACCTGAGGTGTTTGGTCTTAAAAGTTTATTTTGGCCTGAACGGTGTGGCTCCGTGGTTGAGCATAGACTTATGAACCAGAAGGTCATGGTTGGATTCCCAGTCAGGGCACATGCCTGCGTTACGGGCTTGATCCCCAGTGGGGTGCATGCAAGAGGCAGCTGATGGGTGATTCTCGTCATTGATGTTTCTATCTCTCTCTCTCTTTTCCCCAACCTTCCTCTCTAAAGCCAATAAAAATATAAATATATATTTTAAAATGTTTTAAATTTGTGCCAGTATTTAGATTGGCATCTGCACTTGGACGGCACATGTAGCACGGGCCATCAGCATCTTCCTCCAGGATGTGCACCTCCTTCACCGCCTTACACTCCAGGCACCAGAATCTCTGATAGTCATTCCCCTTTGAATCCACCCTTTTCCCGTCCTCCAGTGCCACGGGGTCACTGGGTCCACCTTAGACTCTCTGCTGTCAGAGCCTTTCCCTGCGCAGCTCCCTGGGGCTGCAGCTTGTTTCCCGTGCTCAGCAGGAGGCTCTGGAGGGCGATGGATGGGGAGGAAGAGAGGATTGTGGCTACTTATTCCTTTCTCTCTCTGCTTGGCACTGACTACACCTATTCTGTGGCTCCACCCCCCTAGAAATCCCCTTTGTATGGCTGCTATCAAGTGCTGGGAGATTTCCCCGCCAGAACTGAAGAACTTAGTCCACCCAATCTGGGTGCCCTTTTTCTGGACATTGCCCTGACTGAGAAGAGCTCCCTTGTTCGTGGTCACGCTCCCCTTCCAGGAGGTTACGCCAATGACTGGTGATTGTGAAGGTCTGGCCTCCTGGCCACAACTTGGGCCGATTCTGAAGGGCGGGGCCCTGCTTCAGACGAGCTGTGTAAGGGGTTCCCATTCAATTCTTCCCATTGAACTTCCTGGGCTGGCTTTCCTGACTGATACAAACCTTGCACATTCCCCATGCCTCTCCACTCTTGTGAGCTTAGTTTAGGACCTTCTGGGTCTCTGCATAAGCTCCTAACTGGGTCACTCACTCATCCCTTCAACACACACTGAGCATCTCATCTGCCAGGGCACCTATAGCTGCTGGAGGAGCAATGCAGGCGCATAAGACAAAACGTGCCCTCTACCTCCTCCATTCATCCCCACACAGCTATCAGAGCATGCTTTCTAAAATTTGAACTTGATCATATCAGGCTCTGGCCTCAAACCTTGCAGGGACCTTCAGATGAAATCCAACCACGGCAGTATGGAAGAGTAAGCCCTCTTTCCTGGCCCCCTCTCCTCCCCTCCTCTTTCCTCCCCCCCCCTCCTCTCTTCTTTCCTTCTTGTTTTCTCACTTCCAACCTATCTATGTCAGCTCCTGGCAGACCCCCAAACACAATGTGCCAATTCACACCACTGTGCTTTAGCTTGTGCTGTTCCCTCCCACTGGAATTCCCTTGCCTCTCCCTGCCAGTCTCAGGAACTCCTATTCATCCTTCAAAACACCACCCAGATTTTCCCAGCACAGAAGTCAGAGAGGTAAATGTCCTCCCAGGTGGGGTTGAGTCCTGTTTCTGTCATGGCACTTTCTACTCAACTGTTTTCACAGAGAGGAGGGCCATGGCTCATTCAGCCCAGTGTCTGTTATGAAGGAGGGGCTTCGTGTCAACCAAGTACATGTACTCAAGGACAGAGGGTCACCCACAGGGAAGGTAGTGGGATGCAAGTTGTTGGGGAAGATGGGGCTTGAGCTTTGAGGGCTTCCAGCCCAGATGCCTGGGAGGAGGGACGGGTACCCTTAGCAGGGCCTGAACAGGTCAGCCAAGGGGACAAGTGAGCTAAAATGACCCTGATCTCATCTCTGGGGCTTTCCCTGCAGGCAGAGTCTGGGCTGAACTTCCATCAGACATTTTGGACACTGATTTGGAGAAGCTAATTGCTCTTTATGGATCTCAGGTGTCTTACCTGTGAAGTGGACATAACAAAGTCCTGCTCTTCCTCTTTCTCGAGGTTCTTATGAAAGAAAGCAAATAGGTACAGAGATGTGAAAAGTATTTTTGAGTTATCTACCTCTACACAAATGTGATTTTGAACTATGCTCATTTAGTCCTGAATATGCTGAATATTCCTGAATAGGCCTGCATATGCTGAACTGAAAAATCCTTCACTGTGAAAATCCAAGTTAACAAATACAAATATATAAATAAATAGGATGTTAATCAGGAAGTAATTCTTCCCAGATTAAAAGAGTTCTTAGCTGTTTGGAAACATCTACCACATGATGCCATTAGCAAGCTCCTTTAATGCATTTAGGAAGCGGCTGGGTAAGAATGTGGGAGCCTTGAGAGCAAGAATCACGGCTGATTGTGTGTGTGTGTGTGTGTGTGTGTGTGTGTGTGTGTGTGTCTGTGTGTGTGTGTACGTGAGTGTGTGTCCTCTAGCCTCGGCATAACTCTGAGCTCACATCTGATGGG